TAAATGATCATAACAGACAACACACCAATACTGCAGATCCATAAATAACACATCAAATAAAACTGATCACTCATTGCTTAACCATAAAAAAGTCTCCATATCCAGAAAGGTGAAACTTCTGTAACGTTTTGTTTGCTTTTCCACTGCTGGTTGTGGTCACTCACTGCTACTACAGCCCAGTTCACCATACTGCTGACTTCAGCAATCGGAGAGGAAACCAACATTAGAGCAGAGTGGAAAATTAAGAACTGAGAGAAGCCAGGTTTGGATACAGCCACGCCATAAGGAACAGTCAATAGAAAAGAGGCGTGAGAGGAAGAGGAGTAAAGGAAAATGTAAGCAAGTCCTTTTGAGCTAAAAATAATACATGGGGAAAAAAATCTTTATTATAGTAAAGGTTCACTGTAACTTTTTATTCATATCCCAGAAGACTTCTACTACAAGGTAGAAGCCTGCTTTGGTACAAGCAAAGCATTGCAACAATAACCCTGATGAACATGAAGCTTCTAAGTGACCACTAACCACACAGTGAAAAAGAGTAGAAACAGGAAGTTGTCTGGAAAGCATAAATTCAAAGCAGGCTGTACCTGACACAAACACACAGCTCTGCATTTTTACTCTTTGCTGCACCATTGTGTTCTAATGTGGATGGATGATGACGGTGAGAATTTAAGTTTTGTCCAGAATTAACATGACTTCATTAACTTGAGGGCAAAGAAGGATAAGAGTATGGTCACACACATGTATGCCATAGGAAGCAAATATTTGGTTGGTATATTGGTATTTTCTGTGTCCTAATCCTTACAATAACACTAGGGATGTTGGGATTAACCGGTTTTACGATAACCACGGTTTGATAACGTCAGGATTTCATAACTGTAAGAATTATCAAACTACCATATCTAACTATGGTGTCCTGCCTCTCGGTAAGCGGTGAAATCTCTCGCAAGTCACGTTTTGAGTGCGCGAGCCACTGAAATGTTAGTTGAGAAGAGCGAACTGAAGTAACTTATTACCACCAGCGCTGGACAGAGAACTCCGTCAGAGGAGTGCACATCGAGAGGAGAAATCCTTGTTTACTTTCGGTTTCTGACCAGGGCTGGGTGAGTGTATCGTGACATCCCTAAATAACACCCATGATGTTTTATCAGTCCAGGTGCCTCACTTATAAAATAGTACGAGTAGGGTTCTACTACATTTATAAATAAGTGTAAATGCTCAAAAAAAAGCAGAAAATGGTGTACACTGACATTTATTTAGATTTATAACCTGACGGCAAAGTTCTCTTTATAAATAACAGTCCACTTGGAAACATGCATATGTGGATCTGCCTCATAATGAATGAATCATGGCATCAAGCGATGAAAAGAAGAAGCTCAACTATCTGACACCGACATTGAGGAGCGTCAGAGTGAGGTGTATGTGACATCATTAATAAAAGAAAATGCACCAAGTGGTGACATGTTGCTGCCGCTGTTATTTATTTAGACGTTTATTTCATTCATTGACCAAACAAAACAATTTAAATGCTAAAATCTTTGAATGAATAGGAGCAGAAAGATTTATGTAATCTGCCCCTCTTTCACAAGATTAATTAACAAGGAAAATAATTCAATAAAATTAAAGATTTAAATCGCTGCAGGCCAACACAGGCCCTCTCATCCATCTATTGGTTCCTAAATTACAATTCATTTTATGCCATTCAAAGAAGCTAAAGTGAGTGGTAACAACAGAGAGGACACTGCATGAAATAAACAAATGGTCAGATTTAAAAAGGTGGAGGCAAAATAAGTAGCATTCTCATAGTCAGAATATGAGGGGAGTTCTTGTACTGAATGTTTGTATTTTAATCATCCCCAGGATTATTAAATTCAGAGACAGCTGCGATATCCCCCATCCATAAAGCTAAAACTCCTAGGGTGATTAGTTCTGGATCAGGTTTTAACTCCACCTCCAAACATCTATCCAGAAGTTCTGGGAATTAGGACAAAGGGCGTAACTGTGTAAGAGGGTGGAGTCTGTTGAGCCACATTTATCCCACTGTGTTGAAACATCTGTAAACAACCTGAGTAGTATTATCTTTGTATAGTGCAAACTAGGTAAAATCTTAAATTGTATTACACAGTGACTTGCACTGACAAAACAGGCATGTATATATCTCAGGCTTTTATCTTAGATATCTCCATAGTTGGTCACCAAGCTCAACTTCCCATTCTGCCTTGATGGTGTTGGAAGTGGGATGATAGTGGGAGATATATTCAGAAATTGTATTTTCAGATATTTTCATCTTTCAGTTATGTCGTACAAGGACAACTATCGCTGTTAATTTTAATGTTAATGATGAAATGGATCAATAATCTAAGCTAAATAATCACCTCAAATGTCTACACAAATGGATTTATGTCTGTGTACAAGTGCATACATTCTCCCGTAAACTTGTGTATTTTTCTGCTTACCACATTGCAGCTGTGCAGTTTCACATCAGATCAAATACAGTGATTTAATAATAAAA